CTCAGCCCTCTGCAACCTCCACTTCCTGGGTTCAAGTGATTCTCCTGCCTCAGCCTCCCGAGTAGCTGGGATCACAGGTATATGCCACCACACTCTGCTAATTTTGTATTTTTAGTAGAGACGGGGTTTCACCATGTTGGCCAGGCTGGTCTCGAACTCCTGACTTCAGGTGATCCACCCTCCTTGGCCTCCCAAGGTGCTGGGATTACAGGCATAAGCCACCGCACCCAACCCAAAATTCTTAATAAATTTTGAATAAAGAGCCTTGCATTTTTATTTCGCACTGGACTCCACAAATTTCACAGCTGGCCCTGCCTGCAGCTCTCCTCCTGCCAGGCCTGTGGGGGCCTCTGAATGTCCTGCATCCATGGGACATGTCCCCTCAGGCCCTAGAGGGGAGCTCTGCCCAGAGAGTGCCCCCACGGTGGGCCCCTGCCTCTTGTTGGCCCCGTCCTGGATGCCTGGGATCAGCTCTTTGGCAGGAAGGAGGACAAAGGTGATCCATCGCCTTGACACCAGGGCTCGCTGGCTGTCAGCAAGGGTCCCGTGTCTAAGTCCTAGTATAGGAAAGACAGCCCTGATGGCTCTAAGTATCCTGGACCCCTCCTGTCCCCCACCTGATCGTCAGGGATTCCAGAGGATGCTGGGCCTGGGGTGGTTCAGAGGTCCCTGGGCAGCCCCCACCTGGCCTCGGCCTCTGTGGCCCCCTTGTGTGAGGGCAAGGAAGAAGCTGCTCACGCCAACGGGGAAGCGGTGCATCTATTTTTAACTTCCTGTCTCCGTCGAGCTCCCTGGAGTCTGGACCCTTGGAGCCAGGGCTGGAGCATGATTGAGTTTCAGGCCCCACCTTCTGGCCTTGTTCCCCGGTAACCCGAGCAGGCGGAAGTGCAGCCACACTGTCCAGGCAGACAACCTGGCAGGAGGGCGGGGCTCTGCGTGGAGAGGGTGGGCTGATGCCCCCTCTGTGCCCACCCCCACCTGGACCCCCACCCTGGCACCTCGAAACCCGTTTCACTATAGACAGGGCTTTTTATTCCACAGTCAGATGGCTCACTTGGGGAAGTAACCTGGTGGGGAAATTTTATACTAAGATGTGAATGATTGACATAATAAGGCCATTTCCCAAGAGCTGGACCTGGGGGGTGGGAGGATAGAGAGATAAGAGGATAAACAGAGAGGATGAAGCAGGAGAGGGCCAGGCCCTGACACTGTCCCATTCTGCCCCAGTTGACAGGCATGGCTGCCCTTCCCCCTTTCCTGCCCCTCCTCAGCCAGGTCTCCCTCCCCCAGGCGGTCAGGCAGGTACTCCCTGAGCCAGGAGCCACTGGGACATCCTCCTCAGCTTGGGAATTCCTCTGTTGGGATGGCTAAGGAGTGTGGGTGTGAAAACAAAATAACAGCCATGAATTTACAAGGAGAGGAGGCTGGAGAAAGAGGCGGCTCATATCCAGCCCTGCCTGTGATGCTGTCAAGCACAGACTCTGGAGCCAGAGGCAAGTGATACAAGTT